CGGCACAACCAAGTAGCTGGCATTGTGTACAGGAACATCTGCACCGTGTATGGGCTAGACCCTCCCAAGTCCACCGAAGGACATGGGGAATAACAGGGCTAAGATCCTGTGGGACCTCCAGATCCAGGCGGACAGGCAAGTACTGGCCAATCAATCAGACATTGTGGTAGTAGACAAGGACCAGAAGACAGCAGTGGTGATAGATGTAGTGGTGCCAAGTGACAGCAACATCAAGAAGGAGTATGAGAAGCTGGAGAAGTACCAGGGCCTGAAGGAGGAATTAGACAGGATATGGAAAGTAAGGCCAAAGTACTCCCAGTGGTAGTAGGAGCACTCAGGGCCATGTGACTCCTCAACTGGGAGAGTGGCTCCAACAGATCCCAGGAACAACATCAGAGCTCTCTAGTCCAGAAGAGTGCAGTGCTAGGAACAGCTAAGATACTAGAGGCAATTAGTAGACACAAATTCAGGCAATTATTATTCAGGCTGAGAGAGAATGAAGGAGGACTTAAGATAATCTTCCACTTCTTAAGGCTCTTTTCTCCACAGGGGGGAAAAAATCTAGACTAGCTGCTAGAATCAACATATGTGGGATTTTAAAAATAAATCTTTTAACTCCATTTTTTAGGTTGAACCTAACTTCCAGTTTGACTGATCCAGACGGCAAAACCGTTTGAGACCATCTGTTCAGTTTGATTGCATTCACTTGAGATCCCACATCAAAGTTTATATGCACAGCAATCCTATTTATATTTAGTCAAAAAATAAGTATGAAACTTAATCCTAGAGACATTTTGAAAGTTAGGACTTAGTCATGGCAATAAAGCCATACCAGGAAATATTGTAGGCATAAATAATAACAAAAAGACACATTATAAATTGTCTAGATTACACATTCATTTATGGTTAAATGTTTTTCATAAGGGGAAATTAAATAGGATTTTTAAAAAAAATTCAAAGTGACATTCTAATCACTATAAACTATTTTTTAAATCCACAGCGTACACTATCTCTGAACTTCAGTACAGTGTGATATAAAGCAGCACACAGTACAGATTCCATAGGTTTGATGAATGGTCTGGATTTGCATACTGTACTAATCTAAATGTGATTTGTTTTTGGCATAACGTTTTCTGCAAACCCAGCCAACTGTGGCTTATTAATAAATCATACTTAAATAGACCATGGGTTGGCAGGATGCGTGAACCCAAAGCAATATGAAATTAAAGTATAGATTCCCATTTAAAATAAAATAGCTTTGCTACCGTATTCTCTTTTGGACTTTCCAGAATAATGAATCATAGGTTTTTCCTCTATTATTTTGAAGTGGGACACCACTGTATTAATGCCTTGCCTTGCTTATGGGCTCTCCAGGGGAAATAGAATGCTAGATTAGTCAGACCTGGCTATTTTATATATATATATATACCATTTAGAGAACATCATATTTAAAGAAAATGAAGGACAATTAAGTGCAAGACAGATGTGCTGTTAATCAGTAGGAAACTAGGGTTTGGGATTTGGGTTCAGTGTTTCCTATATGGAATTGCACTTCCTTTAAAGGGCAACTCCATGGAATGGGAGTCCTCCTTGGCCACCAGCGTGTTTGTGGATTCATGTGGTAGCACTAACAAGAAATGTGTTTTGCCAAACTATGTCTAGGGTGCCAGCTGTGTCTGTTTCTGAGGTCATCAGACATGACAACACTTACCCATACCATGAATATATCCTGACGACTGTGATGCACTTCATGTGGGTCTATCCGTGAGAAGTGGCTGGATTCTTTGATTAGTACAAAGTACAGCATATAGGCTGCTAATATAGCACAGGGGTCATGTCAGTACTGAGAATCTGCACTGGTTACCTATTGCTCATGGGGCCCAATTTAAAGTTGGTATTTACTTTTAAATCTCTAAATGGCTTAGGAACTGACAATCTAAGGGACCGCCTCTCCCACTGTGAACCATCCACTTGTTACAATCACTGGGGGAGGCCCTTTTGAAGATGCCCCCACTGTCAGAGGCCTGACCCCAATTCCCTGGGTAGATGAGGGAAGGCCTTCTCCTATGATGTTCCCAAGCCACTGAAAGTATTCGTATTCGTACTGAAAATCAAGATCAAGTGAGCTTTTGCCCTTCTGCTCCACGGGAGGTTTCTGTCCTCCCTGAGCTCGCCTTAGGACACCTGCGTTACGGTCTGACAGGTGTACCGCCCCAGTCAAACTCCCTACCTGATGCTGTCCCCGGAGCGGGTCATGCCCAGCCGCCACTGAAAGTAGTGCTCAGAAGTCACATTCAGTCCACACCCTTTCTGCCTTTAGGAAATGGGAGAAAACCTGCCTTTTCAGCTAGGCCATTTCAGTTCCAAATACTTCATAGTAATTTTAGCTGTTGTTATGATTACATTGTTTATTTGTAAGATTTAGATCCCACTGTTCCAGTTAGTTAGTTGGTTGTTTTAGGTGCCCCACAGGGATAAAGGTGGAATCTAAGCTGAGATGATGTTGCTTTTTCATCCTATAAATTGCTCTCATGCTATTATTTAGTCAGAGGGAATTAGAAACGTGTTCTCTATTCCATCTTCCTAGCAATTATCACTCCAGAGCATCTCATTTACCCTTTTACAGGGAAGAGTAATATGCCAACATTTTAATAAGCAATCTGAAAGTGCAGTTACTGAAAGTGTGTGCGAGTCAGCGATGTCATTTTCATGCAGTAGGTTTAATACTTCTGATGTTTCTAAGACAACAGATAATGTGTGGAAATTATATTGCATTTTCAAATTGTTTCTGTGTTAGTGCATACTTAAACTGATTCTTTGTGTAGTTCGACTGCACATCAGCTTTGCACATACTGCATAGAAAATTATAAATTCAGCAAGGGCAGCTTTTCAAGTCCTGCAAGTTGACAACAACGTAACCATGTATTTTTACTTACCATGAGGTTCTTGAAAAACAAGTCAGCCTTTGAATAGGTAACACTGAACAGAAGCAAAGAGAACAGGAATATGTCTTATAATTAGTGAGATCATTCACCTGATTCAGTATTGTCAACATTGCTTGGCAGTAGCTCTCCAAGATTTCAGACAAGCATTTTTCAGTGCTACCTGGAGAAGGAAAAGACCTCTTGCATGTAAAGCAATCATTCAGCTCTTCCTTTTGCATGATGTTGTTGCTCACCTGATTCTCAAACTGTTCTCCCTGCTGCATCTCTTGGGGATAACCATCAATCAAGAATCCCTTTGAGTTTTCCATATTGGCAAGTATAGCTTCTTTTAGGAACTCCATGACAATATCCTTAATTGAAGAATACAAATTAGTTTGGTTTAACATCTGGTCTGAAAGTTTAAGTACCTTAAAATGAGACATAGCCACAATAACCTAAAATGTTCCTATTCCAAATATTTTGTGCATTCATGCACATGCACTATTTTACCTCCTAAAGGCACTCCAAAATTCCCATCACTGCTGAGTCTCAACCCAGACATTTTTACAAGTAGAAAAATGCTAAACAATGAAAAAAGGCAGTGCTCCCTTGAGAACTAATGATTTTAAGTAGCACATTACAAAGCATATGTCGTTAGCAAATATAACCAATTGAAGGAGCCTCTAAAAAAGTCTGAATGAGAGCAGCAAAGATTCCTACATTGTTTTAAGGACTCACTTACTGCCTTGCTTCTCTTTAAAGTACCAACAGGTAGTTTTGAGTTAGTACATATTGTTCTTCTAAAAAGAATTCTGGAGAACGAACCTATGTAGTTTTTAGATTACCTAATTGAGCTTCTTCTTTCTCTCCTTCCCCCCTCTCTGTGATGGAGATTACTTTGGACATTAACTTTGCAATCGCATCTTACCCCTGATATGAATTCACCACTCTCTGTTATATCTCTGATGTTCTTACTCCTTTCAGATGCTGTTTCATTTTGGACCAGATCTTCTATGGACAGATGTGTGAATCCATACTTTTGTGCTAATTTCTCACACTGGGTTCCTTTGCCAGAACCTGGGCCACCTTTATGAGTAAATACAAGTTCTCAAATTAGAGAGATAATAATTGACTCATCATAGGTTCAAACAGTATCTTCGGAGTATACCAATTAAATAGTGGTAAGAGTAGATAACAGAGGCCTCTTCTGTATTCAGCAGTGCAGAAACTACAATGAAGTCTCTTTCATTTCCAAACTATCATTGTACAAATTTTTTTTTTCACATACAACTGCATTTATAATGTGGTTAGGCACAACCCAGCAAAGGATACCACTGCAATTGTGACAGAAAAAAGAAGACTTTGATAGGCCTGATGCAGCTTACTTATTTCATTAATTCTTATATTTTGTCAAGAGCTCTTAACCAAAGGTAGTAGGTTATTCTGAGAACTGATCAAGTGGGATTGTGAATCTGGTATTTCCCAGGGCTGCAGCACTAGTAGCAGTAAAAAGTCACATGGGCCATTTTAGATGATGCAGATGTGTAAAAATATAGGTTTTAAAATGTAAATATTGCCTGGCTATTTATAACTGCCCAGTTTTGAGGGTGCTCATTGAAAATTTACTTCCAAACAAACCACAATGACTTATCAACTGCCCATGTGATCCAAAGGCAGGAGGAGGAAAACAACCATTTTCCTATAAGAAAATGCTTTTTCTAACCTAATCCAATCTTACCTGAAAGTGAAGGCAAGGAAAAAAAATTACAAAATAGTTTTTACATTTTTGAATATGTAAAATATTCAAAATATTTTTGAAAATATTGTAAAATAGTCCAAAATATTTATTTATCCCTTCATTTACAGTATTTATTTTTAAACCGCCCAGTAGCCAAAGCTCTCTGGGTGATTTACAAGAGATTACACCTAAAGTGATACCATTCAAAAACTTAACAGCATGAAAATAACAAGCTAAAGATTGTATCATGCACCACATGAGTGAGACTGAGAATCAGACCATTGGTAATGATCTGAGCTGAAAGATTTTTCCCCAAGCATGTATCTCCCCAAGTTCTTTTAGGAAGATATAAGCAATAGTGATACAGGGATTCTACCAAACTATTTTCAATTTAAAATACACTTGGGCAGAGACTTTCGGAGTTTTTTTCCCCCCACAACCTTGCAGTACACCAGAAAGAGGCAGGGTTTTTGATTAAGGGGGAGTCTGCAGCTATGAATCATTTACCTAGCAGTTGCTTGAATCCTTAAGTCTGAGAACCAACTTTTAGAGAGATAATCGTACAGTAACAAGAAAAATCCCTGAACAGGTTTCACCAAATCTTTGAAGATTACATTTTATTAGCTAAATTAAATATTACAATGCCTGAAATCTAAGCCCACCAACTTATTTTGGGAAAATTATTAATAATTGATAGTAATAACAGCTAAAAACTATTAGGGCTTTGCACAATATCCTAGTAGAGAATGTAAATTCATAACATTTAAATGTAGTATAATCAATATTATACAGAGAATTAAACTTGGCATCTTCTCAGAAGAGAAAAAAATGTAAACAGAAAAACTTGAAGGGAAATGTTTGGAAATGCTAAGAGACATGTAGTGGTGTAGGGCAAGTGTTGGCAACCAATAGATGCCAAGGAGTTAGACACCCCCTAAAATAGCTACAAGCTCCCCAAATTACAGAGAGAGACGGGGGGGGGGGTTAAAATGTTGCCAAATCTTAAGAGTTTTAATCAATCTCTCAGTGGTATGCATTGTGTAATTTGCATGAGAAATCAGAGTGGATTGTTTTCCTCCTTTTGAACTCAGTTTATCTCCCGGGTTCCTAAGGAAGTAATTTTTCTCAGTCTGTTACTCATGACTCCTATGTGAACTGGTGAAGAGGCTGTTTTCTTAACTGATAACAGAGAAATGTCCAGGTGATTAGAATGTGAATCTCTTGTTCTAAACTTATTAGTACAAACGAGTTCTACCTTTCATATGTAAAGCTTTTCATCTTACTTAGTTCAGAGTGTTTTCAGGTCAAAGCTAGAATA